AGGAACTCCGAGTTTGTCTGCTTGGCTCCATCCCTTCTGCACATCACCCTGCCCGTCTGCAGTGTCCATGCCGGAGTCCAAGAGCAGCGTTCAAAAGACGAAGAGAAGCCAGGCACGGTGGTGCATGCCCGTAACCCCGGCACACTGGGAAGCCAAGGCAGGAGGTTCACAAACCTGAGCCCAGCATAGGCAATGTAGCATCTTAACAAGACCTTGTCTCAAAATACAAAAGAAAAATGGACTGGGGAGGTAGCTCAGTGTGAAGGCCCTGGGGTGAGAAGGAGAGGGAGAGGGAGAATTGCTGACAATATCGCCCAGGGCCCCGGGCATGTGCAACCCCAGCAGGCACAGAGTAAACCCTTATCAAGCAAATCAATGCACTAAAGAGTTAATCAACTACGCCTGCGTTTGTTATACACCAGGAGACAACATTCACGGAGAGCTGCGGAATGAGGGTTCTAGATAGAAAACTGAACCAGGAAGGAGGGATCCCCAGTGTGTGACACTGCGTGCCTGGCTCGCCTGTCCATGTAAGACACACACACATCCACCCATGCACGGGCACACGCACAACCTGCAGACACAGGGATGCAGGCAGGTCTGTGCCGACTCATTGCGTCTCCCCGGGACTCAGCTTCCATCTGGCCATGCTGCTTCTGCCCCCAGTGTCCCTGTGAAGCCACCCTCAGCTGCCACCTCCCTCTCTGCCCAAACAGCACCAGAAGGGCTTCCCAGGGATGCAGACACGCTGTGGCCTGGTGACTCTTGGGTGCCTGAGCATGGCCCTTGGTGCCTCTTTTGATCTAATGAAGCCTAAGCGGTGCCTTCTAACTGGGTTTGTTTGTGGGTGTCCTCTCCAGCCTACAAATTGCTGTCAACAAATTCAGGGCCTGGTGCAGTCATGGCGGTGGACTTCGTTTGAGTCCTGTCTCCGAGGGACTGATAAGAGCAGCTTCCAGGCCCGTGCAGGGCCGCTGGACCTCCACAGAGCCCGGCCGTCCCCACCCGGCTGATGGCAGGTATTTGAGCCCAGAGACCTGCAGGCGCTGCTCTGCTTACCAGGACCCACGGGCTGTCGAGCCAAGATGCTATTTGCATCTGGCTGTAAATGCAGCCTGGAATCTCCAGGATAAACATCTTCAGGATTGATTCCTGCACTGCTCCCAGGAGCGCTGGTTTCAGAGTAATCATGAGGCCCAGACAATATGGGTCTGCTCTGGAGCCAGGGTGCTGGGGGAAGTCCACAGGCCCGCCTCAAGCTGACCAGACAAAGGCTCCCTTGGGGATGGAGACTCGGGGTCTGGGAGGGACCCAAGGGACCGGGGACTTGGAAGCCATCCCTGCAAAGGGATCAGAAAGGGACTGGTTCTGCGGCTGTATCATCAGGTAAGTTTAGCGCCAGCAAATCGCCGTGTAGTGCCAAGAGTTAAGGCTTCAGAGGCCAGAGGGGGGGATGCAGAACGTGCGTCCTCTCATCTCTGAGGTCTTCATTTGTAACACGGCTCTTAAGAAATGGGAAATCATCACTTTGTGCTCAGTGTGGAAATTTTCCAGGGCCACCCGAGTCCTTTAAGCCAGGGCTCAAATACCAGATGCTGACTTCCCTCTAGCTCCAGAGGCCCAAGTCCCAGATCCAGCTGTTGCAGGCTTGATTGCTCCAGAGGGCTCTGCCCTGGGCTGGCAGATGGTTGTCACCTCACAGCGAGCTCTGCACCCGCCCTCCACCCCATGTGTCATATTCCCAATTCCTCTTCTCCAGAGGATCCTGGGCACTGCGGGCAAGCAGCTTCCTCAGCCCATTTCACCCTAAGGACCTCTACAAAGGCTCTACCTCCAAACACCTCACCTCCGAGGGCGGGGTCAGCCCTTCACTGTGTGGGTGTGGGGGAAGGGGACTCCAGCTGATCTTCCTGAGCAGCTGCAGCCACCTGATGTCCTAAAAGCTAAATTTCTCCAGGAAGGGAACGACTTGAGTTCGCGGAGCACTTATAGTGTGCCAGGCCCTGCCTGAGCTTTCTGTGCATCCGCTTGGGGTGGGGGTGGCAGAGCGCCCTGCAGCCTCCCCCTCTCCGTCTTCCACGCCCTCAGCCATACTTTGCAAAGAGAAAAGAGACTCCATTCCCCCTCAGGGTTCCCGGAAGTCCCCACGTAACCGCTAATATACAGGAGCCCCTCTAGCCACACGAGCCCTGGCAGAATGTTTCCAGATGGCCAGTGAAGGCCACCAGCCTGCAGGCCATGGAGGAATAAGATGATTGGATGTCCAGGCGGGGGCAGGAGGTGTCCCCCAGCAGGCAGCCACTGCGGCAGATGAGGCCAGCCCCTGGCTGGCTGCCAACGCCCCAGAGGCAGGGACGGCAAGGAAGACCCTCAGCCCCAGCATCTAAATGTTCAGGGAAAGCAGGGAATGGCAAAAGGGTCCACGTCCAAGAAGAAACCAGTCCTGCATCTGAATCTCAGTACTGGCCAAACAGCTCCCAGCTGAAGGCTGCAGTAAGGCGCTCCCAGCCCCGCCATGCGGAGCAGGCCAGGTATGAAAGTGTTTATGGGCTGAGTCGTGCCGCCCCACCCACGCCCTCTGCGATCCCCACCCTGACGTCTAGCCCCGGTACCTCTCACCATGACTGTTCGCAGACGGGGCCTTTACAGGTCCAATGAGGCTGCAAAGTGGGCCCGACCCCCTCACACCTTGTGAGAGGAGGAGGTTGGGGCGCAGAGACACGTGGAGGGAGGCCTTGGGAGGACACACCCCAAGGTGGCCGGCCACATGTCCGGGAGAGACCTCCCGAGAGAGCAGCCCCGCCCACGCCTGGATCTTGGATTTCAGGTTCCATTGTGAGACGTAAAGGCTTCTTCTCTGTGGGACTGTGTGAAGCCAGGGTAAACTTATACTGGCTAGTTTTTTATATTAAATTGGAAGATTGCAAGTAGAAAGTCAAATTTCCATTTTGTCTGTAACAGTGAGAAGCCGCGGCCTTGTGGGGTTCACCGTCCCTCCTGGTTCTTTCCGGCCCTTGTTTTCTGGTCCCCATTGGCACTTGTGTCTGTAATCCCTCAGTCCGAGGCTGCTAATCCGGCCACAGTGCACAGGGAGGAGCTTATGACACATAAGGCCTTCCAGCTGTCAGCTACCTAGAGGTGACATTCATGCCAGGCCACCTGCTCCTGCTGTCCAGGAGAGGGCTTTCTGGTCCCTGGACGCCTGCTATGTGCCAACCTGTGTTAGCACTTTGTACAGATTGTCTTATCCTCAAATCAACCTGACAAAGGGTCCATATCATCCCAGTTTACCGGTGAGGAGACTGGGATCCAGGGTGTCAGTCATTCAGGCCACGTCGGTGGCTTTTCCACCAGGTCTCTGTGCAGAGAGGAGACACCTTCGATCTGATGGCGCAGGTAAGAGAAAAAGACATCTGAGGCAGAGTCGGGGCCTCCACCTCAGGAAGGAGGCTCTACCTCCGCCTGGCTGTGGGGACCCACAAGACTCTGGCTGCCCTGCACACCCCTCCCTCCCGCTCCGTCAAATGGAGCCTACCGTAGACTTGGACTTCCTTCTGCATGTTGATTGGGAAGATCAAATATCATTCCTTGTTTCCAAAGGGAAAATTCCTTTCCAAAGGGAAAAGCTGCAGAAGAAAGCGCCTGTTTGTTCCCAGCCCCAAACATGCAAACAGCAAAGTAGGAAATACAAACATCGAGATAAATTCAGGCAATGTCCAAGCTCCTGACCTTGAGGCACAAGCCAGCCTCAAAGAGCTTACCCTCAATGCGAATATATGCAAATGATATGTGCAAATATGTACGGCTAGAGGCAGACTTTGGCATCCGGAGTGGGCTGGGCTCCCGGGGACCCAGGCGCTCCCCTGCTGCACCTCACCTTCTGCGTGTGTGACTGTCTCAGTCTAAGTCAGGATGCTGTGGTTTCCCTGACGGCTCAAGGCACTGGGAGGGACAGTTGCTGGGCAGCTCCGACGCCAAATGCCTCCATGCGTGACTAGGTACCGGGCACAGCACCTTCCTCTGGTGGACAAGCAGGGTTCATTCGGTTGCCGTGATCAGAGGAACCACCTGTCCCTTGCATGTCCTGAAGCTGGGACAAGTGCCACTCCAGCCAGCATCCCAGGGCTTCTGAACTTACTGCTCCTGTTGCCCTCCTCTTCGCCGTAACCCCTGGTGAGGACAGCGAGGACCACTTGTTGTCCATGTCCCTGTGCTCACTGGATGAAACCCCACTGTGCAAATCAGAACCTCGAGGCACACACGTGTACTCAGCCCCTCCCCAGGTCATAGGGCTGCTTGGTCACAGGGGCAGGATTTGAATCCAGAGCCTGGCTCCAGTGCCTGCCCTCCTGGGCTCTGGGCATAGTACCACCCTCTGCTGCAGCTGCCTGAGGACTCTGAGCTCAAATTCAAGCTTCACCTCCTCTCGGAAGCCTTTCCTGGTTGCCCTCTCACCGTGAAACTGTAAGAAATATCTGCTTACCACTTTCTCTAGTTTCCTGCGGCTTCAAAAAGGACCCAACTCACCGTCTCTTATCTGCAAACAGCGAACATAGAGAAATGGTTACAAGGACAGGCTGATCAGTGTGGTGTGTGTTTAAATAAAATGCTTACTACAGTGAGAGACACATTGCCACCAACCCCTCTGAAAGACTCTTGCTGGCTTCAGACACACTTATCCCATCGTTCTTGGCACTTTAGGAAGCAGTTCCGGAAGTCCTCTTTCACTAGTATCTTTATGAGTTGTGATCAAAAGTAGTGCATGCTGCTGCCCAGGACCATCCAACGGAAGGGGGCAGTCTCGTAGAAACCCGGCACTGCGTCCTCACCCACCTTATCCCCAGATCCAGCACTGTGCGACTTCTGGCTCTTCCCCAAAGTCAAAATGACCATGAAAGGGAAATGTTTTGAATCAGCTGAGGACATCACAGCTACCTTGACATCACAATTAAAGACACTCAGGAAAGAGGGCTTCCGGAGCTGCTGCGGAAAGCGGCAGGCGCAATGGGGCAAGTGCTCAAAGCAAGGGGCAGGACTCGGAGGCGGTTATTGGCAGTGTGTCTTCGTGCTCTAACACATCTTTGCATTCAGACTCTCACCACAGGCTGTGCTCCCACCTCCTGAATGATGGTGGTGAGAGGCATACTGCGAAAGGCACCGGAGGACGGGGCTGCCCGGAAAGAGGTAAGTAACCCTAATCAGAGGCAGAGGAAGAACGGGAGAAGGCACTCCAGGCAGGGGAGCAGCCAGATCCGAGGCACCCGGGGGAGCAGCGGCGGCCCAGTGCTCCTCAGCACCCCACCTAGGCCCTCAGGCAGAGCCATCTGGGCCTGGGCATAGGCAACCCCGTGGGAGAGGGGATGCGACCACTTCTCAGACTCCTCCATGCCTAGGAGGCCAAGCAAGGGCCTGGGGGCGACTCCAGTCCTGCCACCCTCTGGCAAGGTGACCTCGAGAAGGAAAAAACAAATCGCACTGTGCCTCAGTTTCCACAGAGAGGGCACTGGTGCCAGACTGCACTCTCGAGTGAGTCTGGTCCTGGGCTCACTGGAGACGCAGCTTCTCAGGTCCACCGAGAGCTGTGGAGTCAGGCGCTCAGCTCAGGGCAGAGCCGGCTTGGTGTTTTGCATCCTGAATCTCAGGCCCACCCCACCTCGGAAGAAACCTGCAATTAACAAGTTCCATGGGCCACCCAGCACACAGGACCCTAAGAAGATCGCAGGCCTAGGGCCAGGGGACACTGGGTATGGGAGTGATGCCTCCTTGCGGCTGTAAAGCTCAACCAGGAACTCTTAGGGAAATCATTGGAACTTTCCTTTTTCTTTCAGCACAACGCCCAGGCCGGAGGCAGTCCTGTCGGGCTTGCTTAGGGCTGCGAGTCCCTTCCATCCATTCCAGTCCCCGATAAGCTCTCCAGAGCTAGGGGTGCCAGAGCCAGGCCTCTCCTGACAAGGGGTAAGCGCGACCCTCCAGGAGGCAGGAAGGGAACTGAGCTGTCTGCCAGGTCGCCCAAGCACTGCCCCCTTCTTGGATCCTCTGGAATTGGGAAGAAATTCCTAGCAAATTCCATAGCCATCTCTCACCGTGCAAAAACGCCAGAGCGGCCCAGTGTGCAGCGGCCCCGGCTCGAAATGAGTTCAAAACAATTACCAGACAACATGTGTTTCCCATGAACGGTGCAAGTGTTAAAACGGATTTAATTTTCTTTTGTAAATAAAGAGGCCCATCCAGACCGGCCTGTTTATCTCCCTGGGAGAGATGAAAGTGCTTCATCTGCCAGTAGCCTCCGTGGGCCGCGGAGGTGGGGCGGCGATCTGGACCCCATGTGTTCCCTCGCTGGCCGCTGGCCGGCCGGGCATCGCCCCATGTGGAACTGTTTGCGCCCCATGAGGTCTTGGCTCACCGTCTGACTCGTAGTTATCTACGATGGTGCTCCCCGCCTTAAGCATATTAGTGATTCATAAACAGTAAAATTAGTCTGCTAGGGGCTAGTGGAGGTATTCATCCTGGTGGCGCCTGCTTTCCTGGGTTAGTAGTTAAAATAAATCATTGCTGTCACAGTGGAATTCGGGCCGAAAAATCACCTGTAGGAATCCCCCACCCCACACCCCGCCCCTGGGCCCGAGGAGCATCTAGGATCAAAGCAATCTTCCTCGGTGGGTGAGGGAAGGGAGGAGCAGGAGAAAGAGGGAGGGGCGTGAGGGGAGAGGAGGAGGAGGAGAAGGGAGGAGGAGAAAGAGAAAGCAGCATCCCTGGAGGAAAGGCCCAGAAGTTATGCCCAACCAGGAAATTAATGTCTCTGTTCTATTGTTGAAACTGGAAGCTCAAAAATGAGGCCAATTTATGATATTAGTGTTTCTAAAGCAAAATATGATTAACCACTTCATTATGTAAAGTTATGTTTCCACTTAACCTCTTTGCACTGGTCTCTAGAACCCTTTTCTTTCTTTTTTACAGCAAATTTAATAAATTCCAACATGCCCAAACTTCCTGATTTCCATTGTCCACTGTGGTATCGTGCAGACTTCAAGAGCAGGAGATAACTCGCCAGGCCGCCCTGCCCACCTTCGAGGCGCTCCTGGTAATCCGGGATCAGGCAAATAAGCTTTCATCTTCGGAGCACTTAAGTTAATTACATGGAGGCCCAGCCAGCTCTGCTCGCCCCCAGCCAAACATCATCGGATCCAGATGCAAACCCTTGGCGACTTAAGCCCAACAAATTTCCTTTGTCAAGAAATGCAAACAGCCAAACACTGCAAGCTGGGCTACTTCAGGGGAGCTGCTCCTCCTCCTGCTCTCCTTCTTCCTCCTCCCCTTCCTCCCTCTCTCCTCCTCCCCCTTCCATTCCCCCTCCTCTTATTTTCCTCCCCTCTTCCTCTTCCTCTTCCTCCCCCCCACTCCCGAGGCCAGGCCTGCAGCCAGGCCAGAACCTATTAACACGGGGGAGGTGGAAGCCTAGCTGGTTCACAGACACAGAGCATGGCTTCCGGTCCCTTTGGACAGGTCACTGACCCATCACAGTGCAAGGTCATCTCCTTTCCATCACCCAAGGTGTTTTTGGACCCAAGGGGGCTTCACCCAGAGTAAGAATATGGGGCAAAGGTGGGGCTGCTCCACCCAGCCCACCTCCCACTGCACCCCTGGACCCAAGACCGCAGGCCCTTCCTTTCCCTCAGGCAGGTGCTGCCAACCTTCTTGGACCCCTCCCCGGATGTCCCCAGGTGCCAGAGACTGGAGCACAGCTCCCCGTTCTCCATCCCTGCTGCACACCACACGTCCCACCCTCGTCACTGTACTGGGGTTCCTGCTCCCTGTTCCATCACAGTGATGTTGCTGGGCCCTGCATCCTTCCTGGGGTGAGTCTGCCTGGCTGGGGCGGCGACAGAGGGAACGCGCAGGACAGCCCAAGCAAGCCCCGCTCCCAGAGCAGCCTGGGTGAGCCCCTGAGCTGCATGACTCAGGATTCAGAGCGAAGGTTAGATCACGAGCACCCTAGGGGGCTGGAATCGTGCGCCCCAAGAGATGCGCCCTACTGCTCCCCTGGATATCTGGGAAGGAACCATACATGGAAATCGGGCATTTGGGACGTGATCAAGGTGGTACGGGGCCACATGAGGGGAGGGTGGCCCCAGCTCAGCGGTTGCTGTGTTTGCGGGAAGAAGGACATAGGAAGAGCACACTGCGGAGAAGGCTGTGTGAAGACGGAGGGAGGTGGCCACAGAACCAGCCCCGCCCAGCGCCCGCCCATGACCTTGGGTGAGCCTGGGAGAGCAGGGCGCCGACACCAGGATGGCCAGCCGGCCGCATCCAGGCTCAGAGAGCCGACTTCTGGGGTCTGAAGCGACACAGCAGCTACATGAGACAGAGGCCCCCCAGGCCCCCACAGGAACTCCCGGCTCAGGCTTTCACAGCCTGGGGGGAGAAAATGACACCCTCCCTCACCCACGGCAGGGCTCACAGCCACATCCTACAGTGAAAGAGCAACGAGAGACAAGTAGAACATGCGTCCAGTGCACGCTTCTGCGAGAGATTCACGAACGCGGGGCCCAAAGGCCTGGGGGAGCCGCTCTGTCGGACACTCACATTAGATGGGGCGATGTTCACATTTTAAAAATGTATTACAGTAAAAGACACATTGCCATGAATTTCCCCTCAAAGTCCTCCCCGCTCACTGTGAACACGCTCACCCCGTCGTTCCGGCCACTTTCTGCAGGAGTTCTGCAAGTCCTCTTCTGTGTCTTCATGAGGTGTGATGGAAACCACGGTGAGTGTTGTGGTCAAGCACCATCCCGCAGGAGGACAGATTCCTAAACACATGACACTGTGTGGTCATCCACTTGATCTACAGATCTGGCAGCATGCGACTTCTGCCTCTTTCCAAAGTCAAAATGACAGTGGAGGAGAAACCTGTTGAATCAGTCCAAGACATCAAGGCAGCCTTGGTAGCAAAAATGATGGCAGACACTCATGACAGAGGACTTCCAGAGCTGCTTCTGAAAGTGGTAAGAACAATGGGATAAGGGTGTTGGAAGAGGGGGTGAGGGAGCTTCGTGGCAGTGCCTTTTACTGTAATGATTTTTTAATTTAAACACTCCCTGTATTTTATATAAACACTTGTATATAATATAGGTTCCCTGTCATATTCCACGGCTCTCTGAGGGCCTTGAGCACCCATAGCTTCATCTCGGGGAAGCCCCTGGAGCCACTCCCCACCCCACACTGAATGTGATTGTTCCAGACCACAGCTCCTGAGTGCAGGGTCTGGAACCCCGTCCCGGCCCCCAAGCCCCAATCCTCAGTGCTCAGGGTGGGCCCTAAGCAATACATGACTGGAACATAAAGGAGTGACATCCACAGCCCCCCAGGCGGGAGCTCCACGGGCAGCTTACCTGCTCACCAAGATTGCAGCCCCTGAGAGACTGACACAGGAAGAACCCCAGTGTGGCCTGCTAAGCCCTGAGAGACGAAGGTGCACAAGGAGGACACCCCTGGGCTCTGGAGCTGACCCAGACCTGGGCCCGCTCGGGAAGAGCCCTCTGTGGGGGCTAAGTAATGTGTCCCTCTGCCCGGATTCAGCCTGTGGTTTTGGCTGTGGCTCCTCCTGAGTGAACAGGAGGTAGCAGGAAGTGAGGGGTGAGCGGCTGCCCAGGTGATTGCCCTGGAAGGAGGAGAGAACCCCGAGCACCAGGGCCCTTGGAGCTGGGAAGGGAAGGTTCCTGACCACTCCCTCTCAGGCCTTGGGTTACATGTCACCTCCTGGAGAGGACACAGAGCCCCTCACCAGCTCAGCCCTCCTGCAGACGATATGGGTGAAGGTCCTTGGAGTGGCGGCCTTGTCTGCTCCAGCCACTGACCCACCTCCAACACCACACCCAGCACTGAGTGGGCTTTGCATCACCAGTGTGGAGGACCACCTAGGCGACTCTCCTCGAAAGAGGAGCAATTGCCTCCATGTTGGCTGAGCCTGATCCTATTTCCATGTGTTGATGTGTACAGAGCTGGCCAGGACCCTTTCCTTATCCTTTCGATTGGCTTTAAAGCAATGCATATCAGTCTAGCCAAGGTGCTGATGGTGGTCTTTGAAGATGGCAGGCGTGTTTCCCCGGATTCCCGTTGTTCCCATGAGTGAAATGGGATGAGGTGGGATGTGTGAGCCAATGCTCCACTGGTAGACTGGGACTGAGCCTTGGGAATAGAGGCTATGACTTCCTGGGGCTGCAAAGACTACACATCAGAGCTGAAGCACCAACCCCAAAACATTAGATGCTATCTCAGCTGTGTCATGCAGATTACTCTTCTGCAGATCCTTCTCTCTGCATACATCAGGGGTGATTTCAGGCCTCCTACCTAGCCCAGCTCATGGCGCTCACCTACTTCCCACGGTTCTCACAGTCACTCACCCTCAAGCCACTCCCTTCTTCATGAATGAATAAAACCTGAGTTCAGCCTTGGGTCGAGGCCTGTGTTTCGGTTAGCCAATGGCTGGACTTAGGACCCCTTGGCTCCATAACTACAAATATGGCTTAGTGTCTTTATTCTCGCCATGGGTTGTCCTGGAAGTGGTAGATTGGAATTAATTATTTGAATTCCAATAACTTTTCATGGGATTATAAATATAAACTTCCTGGGCCACGATGAGAACAGGGAAGGGCTCTCTATAGCCAGGAAGAGAGAGACAGCTTGGTCATCTCCCCTCAGTGGCTGTCTGAATGAAGACACTCGCGGCAGGAAGGCAGAAACCAAGTGCACCAGCTATCCAGGCTCAGTGGCTCTGACAGCACCTGAGCTAAGAGTGGCTGACAAGATAGAGACCCGTTTCTCTCTTTAGGGGTCCAGATTTCCTCCATCTTCTTCCTCTGTCTTCATATGAAACTTCAACCTCATGGCCCAACAAAGTGCCCCCAGCTCCACATCCATGCTCCAGCCAGTGAGAGAAAAAAAGCCAGAGAGAGGACACACTCTGGAAGTCACACACATCACATCTGTTCACCCACTGATCAGCCAAAGCTTGATCCCAGGGCCATACCTGGCTGAAAGGGGCTCTGGGAAAGTGGATCCCGGCTGGGCGCTCATGTCCACTAAGTTCATTACAGGGAGACTGGCATCACTCCAGCGGACCCTGCTACCCAGGGGCCATCTCACTGCTCCTAGCTTCACCCCTTAGCTGCTGCCAGGTACAGCTTTCTTAGCCTGCATTACAGATGAGAACGTCATGGTTCTGAGTTTCTCCATAGGAGAGTGGGCCCACTAGGATTCCAGCCTGGCTCGGGAGGCTTCCCGGCCTCAATCCTGCCGTGACATCCTACGTGGTCCGTGCAGAAGAACAGGATGGGACACCCAGGGTTGCGCGCATCCACACTCGGGACACACCCACGCGGGGACACAAGGCCAGGACCTCCCAGCACCCTCCCTCCTCACCCGATACCACGTTTGTCCTGTGTCAAGCGCTCTGAGCTCATCTGTCCGAGGTGCTGCTTTAGGCACAGTAGGACGGAAAAGGAGAATATGCGGACAGGGCTGAGTCCTGGGGGCTCCCATTCCGGGGTAGCCCAGGGTCAAGAGGAAGTGGACAGGGAAGGCTCCTCAAGGCCACAGCTTGTAGCAGGAGCCCCAGCTGCAGCGACAGTGAGGGGCCTGGGAAAGAGGGTCACAGCAGGGGTGCAGGCTCCAGGGAAGAGTGGGTGCTCTGTCTGAGCACAGGCAAAGAAGCCACAGCTCCAAGCCAGGCAGCAGGACAGAGCAGAGAGAGGGGCCAGGGGCCGAGTCCTTTCCCATGGAGTGGGAGTGCAGATTTTAGGGCTTGGGCCCAAGAGTGGCAGGGGTGGAAATTGCCAGAAGGGGCTGCAGCTGCTGTGACACTGACCGCAAAGCAGGGTGCTTAAAACAACAGAAATGTGTTTGCCCATGGTTCTGAAGACAGAAGTCCAAAATGAAGGAGCCGCTCGGTTCATCCCTTCTTGGCGCTCTGAGGAAGGACCTGGCCCTG